AGAATTGGTACTGAGCAAAAGAGATACAGATCAAAGACAGAAAATTTCAATTAAACACCATTTAGTTCTAAGTTTGGCCAGGAAGTTGCCATATAAACTCATTAGGTAATTGGTAATTTATTTTTATGTAAATATGTAACACATACATGTATACTTAGATTTTTTTTTTTTTTGAGACAGAGTTTCGCTCTTGTCACCCAGACTGGAGTGCAGTGGCATGATCTCTGCTCACTGCAACCTCTGCCTCCTAGATTCAAGTGATATTCCTGCCTCAGCCTCCCCAGTAGCTCGAATTACAGGCACCTGCCCCAATGCCTGGCTAATTTTTGTATTTTTAGTAGAGGTGGCTTTTCACCATGTTGGCCAGGCTGGTCTTGAACTCCTGACCTCAGGTGATCCATCCACCTAGGTCTCCCAAAGTGCTGGGATTACAGGCGTTAGCCACCATGCCCGGTCACTTACGGATTTTTCTATCTTTAGCTAGTAAAAAGCCTATAACAATCTTCAACCCAGAAAAATGCGCACTTCTAGCGGCTAGACTGTGGCCTTGAAATACCATTTCCCACTAAAAGAACCCAACAGTTCACAAACTTATGGCTAAAAGCTTGGTACAGGAAATGTACAAGATAAGCCTGGAACACTTTGTCATATCAGATGGGAAAAAACTGGCAATAAAATAACTGTCTAAGGCTGGGTGCGGTGGTTCATGCCTGTAATCCCAGCACTTTGGGAGGCTGGGTGGGCGGATCACCTGAGGTCGGGAGTTCAAGACCAGCCTGACCAACATGGTAAAACCCCGTCTCTACTAAAACAAAATTAGCCAGGCGTGGTGGCGCATGCCTGTAATCCCAGCTACTCAGAAGGCTGAGGTAGGAGAATCGCCTGAACCTAGGAGGCAGAGGTTGCGGTGGGCTGAGATCACGGTGAGCTGAGATTGCACCACTGCACTCCAGCCTGGGCAACAAGAGCAAAACTCCGTCTCAAAAAAAAAAAACCTAAAACTAAAAGGAAAACTATCTAGTCACATAAGAAGGATCCTAGGGGCCAGGCATGGTGGCACATGCCTGTAATCCTAACACTTTGGGAAGCCGAGTCGGGTGGATCATCTGAGGTCAAGAGTTTGAGACCAGCCTGGCCAACATGGTGAAACCCCGTCTCTACTAAAGATATAAAAATTAGCCAGGCATGGTGGCACGTGCCTGTGATCACAGCTACTTGGGAGCCTGAGGCAGGAGAATGGCTTGAACCCAGGAGATGCGGGTTGCAGTGAGCCAAGATCGTGCCATTGCACTTCAGCCTGGGCGACAAGAGCGAAACTCCATCTCAAAACAAAAAACGAAAGAAAAGAGAAAGAGAAAGACCAAACATTGATCTAGTCTTTATTTTACAAATGGTATCAGTAGTTACCAAATAGTAGGTGATGTAAGAAATTGTTTATATTTGTACATAATAAACAAAAAATAAATGTTAGAATTAGAATATGGCTGTTTTAGAATGTCTGATGAATTAATACATCCAGGCACCGAGCATAAACGCTTGCTAAAAATCACAGAAAGAGAGACAACCAGAAAGTTTATGCTGAGAACCTAAACCATTCACTCCCACACTCAGCCTTGAAACACAGAAGTGGCCCTACCAATCCCCCACAGGTAGCTTACTGTCTACATAAACATGATGTCACTATCCCACTGTTTTCCTCAGCACAATTATACTGTTCTGGAAGTTTCTTGCATAGGCAAATGGCTTCATTGTTCATTGTTCATTACTGGAAATTCCTGAAAGATCCACCGACTCTTTTGTGTGTGTGTGTGAGACGGAGTCTCGCTCTGTCGCCCAGGCTGCGGTGCAGTGGCGCTATCTCGCCTCACTGCAAGCTTTGCCTCCCGGGTTCACACCATTCTCCTGCCTCAGCTTTCCCAGTAGCTGGGACTACAGGTGCCCGCCACCATGCCCGGCTAATTTTTTTGTGTTTTTAGTAGAGATGGGGTTTCATAGTGTTCGCCAGGATGGTCTCGATCTCCTGACCTCGTGATCCACCTGCCTTGGCCTCCTAAAGTGCTGGCATTACAGGCGTGAGCCACCGCGCCCAGCCCAGCGATCCATTAACTCCTAAATGGCAAACATCAACAGTTTGTACTCTAGAAAATTTTCAGTTCCTAACCTCAAAATTCTAACCTAGCTGTTTCCACTAATTCTCCACTGTGGTATTGTCATCTTTACCTAATCCTAATCAAGTCCCCGCATGAAGATCAGCCTTAAACCACACTTTTAATTCTCAGTAAAAGCCATCCTTGCCCTCTCGCCCCTGAGACACTAAATAAAGCTCTTTAGAGGTGGTGTTTTCCTTTCACACAGTAAACCGTAAGCCCAGTTCTCTCTGGTGTGAGGGGAGCAGAAAAAGTGCCAACATATGATGCATACAATACTGCCCAGGAAGTTGTCTTGCAAAAAAATAAATAAAATAAATTGAATCAAAATCGATTAAGTGTAACAGTGAGATAAATCTGGCATAGCTGACTCCACCTTACTTCTAACCTCACAAGCTAATGGCGTTTGCTCATTCCTGCAAGCTGGCCAAGTTAACAATGGGAGGATTTAGTTTATAGTATAACTTTAAAGCAAGGATAATAATCCCTTTCCAAAACTATTAATAATTCCCAAGGAGATAGGGAGGGTGTACATACAAGTAACAACGTTATGTTAAAGATTTACAGGAGCATTGTGACCTGACCAAGGACAACGTTGTGCAACCTTCTCGGACCCCTGCTGACGCCCAGATATCTGTAGTCGCCAGTCACCTCCTGACCTCAACCTCCTCCTTGTTCCCCTTTGCCCAACATAAAAAACGGCATGAGATTCATGCCTTTTAAGATGGTTCTTTAGGACATTAGTCTGCCATCTTCTCCGTTTGCTGGCTCTCTGAAGTAAAGTTCCTTGCCCCAACACCTTGCCTCTTGACTTACTGGTTGTTGTGCAGTGAGCAGTGTGAGCTCTGGACTCAGATACATAAGCCTCTTGATCCCTCTACTTAATTAGAGGATATAGAGGGGTCAGAGAACATATTTAAGCAAATCTCAGGGATGGCATCAGCAAAATCTAGAATGGAAGATGTTTCTTCAGCAAATAAGGGGTTAAGAACACAAAGAAAGATGAAGGCAAAAGTTAGAGACTTGTGAAAACTTAAAAAGACTTGAAATTGGAGAAAGAATAAAAGGAAGGAACTTATTACCATTAAAATCAGAACAGTGGTTACACTTAGCAGGAGGAAGAAGATTGTGACTGGTTGGAGACATGTGGAGGACTTCAGAATTAACTAGAAATTATCTCCTTGTTTAGAAATACTGCTTGGAGTGTATAAAAGAATCTTGTATGTCATTATTATAACCTTTCTGTAACTCTAAAATTATATTAAAATAAAAAAATGTTTTAAAGTTTTAACTCCTGACCCAGCTGTGGTGACATAATTGTTTAACTTATAAGACTCAGTAAGCTATGCATTTGTTATATGTTGTTCTCTGAATCTGTCTGATGTTTTCAAAAATGCCTTGAAAACAATTACATCGTTTCTAATCCTTCGTATTCCCAACAATTCAAATTCAACAATACCTCATATGATCTGACTCCTCCTAACAGTGTGACCTCATTTCTTGTCACTCTCCTCTTAGGATCTCTATTCTGGTCTACTTTGGTGCTCCTCAAACTCACATAGCTCTCTCCATTCTCCTCCCTTGACTCTCCACATTCCTTCCCTCCACTGCCCCAGTCATCTCCTTAGCCTTCCAAGCTCATTATTCAGCTTGGAATATTCTTCCCCAGATAAACACATGGCCCGTGACCTTATACCATGTCTCTTTCCAAATACTACCGCCCCAAAGAAGCTGTCCCAGGCAATCTCATCCAAAACGGCCTAATCTCTGCTTACTTTCTACCATTGCTTATCCCACTGTCTAATAGTATTTGTTTGCCTGTTTATTTTATTTTTCAGACAGAGTCTCACTCTGTTACCCAGGCTGCAGTGCAAAGGTGTGATCTCGGCTCACTGCAACCTCTGCCGCCTAGGTCCAAGCAATTCTCCTGCCTCAGCCTCCCGAGTAGCTGGGATTACAGGCACCTGCCACCATGCCCAGCTAATTTTTGTATTTTTGGTAGAAACGGGGTTTCACCATTCAAGATCGGTCGGGCTGGTCTTGAACTCCTGACATCATGATCCACCTGCCTCAGCCTCCCAAAGTGTTGGGATTACAGGTATGAGCCACTGTGCCCGGCCTACCTGTTTATTTTTATGTGTTCTTTAGTACAATGTAAACTTCCATGAGGATAAGGACCTTACATGTCTTGCTCATGATCACTACATTGATATGTGTGTTGTGTGTGTGTGTGTGTGCAAAAGGGGAGCCGGAAAAACAGCTGAGTCCAAAACACAGGTAAAATATTGCACTCAAGAAAAGAGGCTGGGTGTAGTGGCTCACACCTGTAATCCCAGCACTTTGGGAGGCTGAGGCGTGCGGATCACGAGGTCAGCAGTTCGAGACCAGCCTGGCCAACATGGTGAAACCCTGTCTCTACTAAAAATATAAAAATTAGCCGAGGGTGGTGGCACACGTCTGTAATCGCAGCTACTCGGGAGGCTGAGGTAGGAGAATCGCTTGAACCCAGGAGGCGGAGGTTGCAGTGAGTGGAGATCAAGCCACTGTACTCCGGCCTCGGTGACAGAGCAAGACTCTGTTTTGGAAAAAAAGAAAAGAAAAGAAAAAAGAAAGCACCCATCACTGAAAACGGGTTTGAAATAGAAAAGAAATAAGGTGGTTGGTAAATGGGGTAAAGTTGAAGCTTCTTCTATAACTTATGCTGCGATCTTTATTCCCCACCAGGTTGTAGGCCTTTGCTCCACAAGTCTGGGTGCCTAGGAGGGCTTCACAAACAAAGTGACACAAAAGTGTCTCCTTTCTCTTACCACACGGGCTGTGGCTGGCCCTGATGGTGTCCCCTGCCTTCCTTACCTGTGAACTGTGTTTCTTCCCTCAAAATCATCCAGGGCTCTTTTCCTTGCTCCAGTAAGTCCACCACAACCGGTTTAGAAATGGAATGTCCTCCTTATAAGAAAAGAAATGCCACATGGTATAAAAATAAAAACAAAAGTAACAGAAACCTTTGAGCTTTGGTTAAATTTACAATGAACTAAGGACTTCAAATAAAAGAGGGGAGAGATGATTAAAGAAATGAAGCAGGTACAGTACAACCTTATTTTAATGTAAACTCATACACGCTTGGTCTCTTAGGAGAAAGTTTTACCTGTGACCTTATAAATTGTCTATTTCCAAATATTACTACCCCAAAATAGCTGTGAAGTTCTCTAGAGCCAGAAGGCTGGGGCACAAATTATTCCTCTTAAATCTACCAACCTTGTGACTTTGGCCATGTGACTTCAACTCATTATTCCAATTTGGCAAATAAACTGGGCATAATACTACTACTATTGGCTAGGCGCAGTGGTTCACGCCTGTAATCCCAGCATTTTGGAAGGTCGAGGTGGGAGGATCACTGAGACGAGGAGTTTGAGACCAACCTGGGCAATACAGCGAGACCTCATCTCTACAAAAAATTAGTCAGGCAGGGTGGTGCATCTATAGTCCCAGCTACTCAGGAGGCTGAGGCGGGAGGATCACTTGAGCCCAGGAGGTCAAGGCTACAGTGAGCTATGATTGCACCACTGCACTCCAGCCTGGGCGACAGAGCAAGACCCAGTCTGAAAATAAATAAGTAAATAAATAAATAAATAAGATAATAACAATAATACTAACACACAGTTATATGAGGATTAAGTTATTTTATATATATATATATATATATATATATTCTCCTTCCTTCTGAAGAGTGGCTGGGGACATAATGACCACAGTTGTACCAATTATGATCATCTTATTATTTCTGTATGAGATTTAAAAAAAGCATCCCGACTGATATATAAAATCTTCATTCAATCTCAATGCAAAGTTCATGAATTATAACTTTCAACAATGAATCATACAAATTGGCTATAGGAAATGAAATGTGGACTCTTCAGTTTTCAACAAATATTGTTCATCTAATCCAGCACTATGTAAGTCACAGGGGTTCTTCTTATACTCAGAGTAAATCACGAATCTGCATCTGTTGTCCCTGCAGGTGGATCAGATGATGACACAGCATATCTATAGGAATTCTGGAAATATACACAATGGGAAACCAGGATTCCTGGACAACGGTTATTCATGGACTAATAATATATAATTTTATAATAATAATAAACAATTTTAACACAGCCCCTTGGATATTAAGGAAAGGAGGCAATCATAAGGGGCAGGAGAATATGTGACTATCTCTAAAGGATGAAGAAAATGATGGTGTTTGGTGGCACAGCCATTGTCAAACAGGCGGAGCTGAAATCTTCCTCTAAGAACAGGAAGAACTTCAACTATATAAAATACAGCCTTGAAATTCACTGCATTGAAAGGTAACATATCACAGATCACATTTTAAATTACTTGAGGCAAATAAACTTACCCAGTGAGACCAGGTTTCTGTAGTTCTCCAACATCACATCCCTGTATAAGTCCCTCTGATTAGGGTCCAGGTATTCCCACTCCTGCTGAGAGAAGTCTATGGCCACATCCCTGAATGTCACTAATTCCTGAAACTGCAAACCCATTCATTACATAATTTTAAAAACATTTTAAAGATGGAAAGACAGGATATTAAGAGCACACTGGAGAAAAGGAGTGATATAGCATATGTGGCTAATGACTGGTAGCAGACTAAAGCAATGTGTCTACATATTCCTAAAGGATCCTATTGCCACAGACAAACTTTTCTGCATGTGGAAGGCTCCCACAATAATTCAGACCTCCTGAGGAATGGATAAAATAAAATTCAATAAAGTATTAAAGACACAACTACATAGTCTGCTAGTTGTGTGATGCATAAATTCCCAATAAACATGAGTTTCTAAACTATTTTTCCTTTAAGTTAGAAAAATGAGATGTCCTTGTCAAATTTAATAATCTCCATATTTTATTGTTTTGTTCTATTTATTTATTTTTTTTGAGATGGGGTCTTAATCTTGCTTAGGCTGGAGTGCAGTGACTCAAACATGGCTCACTGCATCCTTGACTTCCCAGGCCCAGGTGATTCTCCCATCTCAGCCTTTCTAGTAGTTGGGACTACAGGTGGGCAAGACCCGCCCAGTTAATTTTTGTATTTTTTGTAGAGACAGGTTTTACCATGTTGCCCAGGCTGGTCTCAAATTCCTGGGCTCAAGCAATCTGCCCGCCTCAGCCTCCCAAAGTGCTGGGATTACAGGTATGAGCCATTGCACCTGGCCAATTTCCATATATTTTTTTTTTTTTTAAAAAAGCTTTTGCAGAACATTTAGACATTTCCACAAGCCTCAAGTTACATCATTATGTCAGAGCACATAATAAGCATTTTTCTTTATTTTGACAAATACATTTTTTATTGACTGTGCAACAATCAATTTTATTATGAATATTTCAGACTTACTCCATTGTTAATCCATCTTTTACCTTCATGTACATTTAAAAAAAATTTTTTTTTTTTTTGAGACAGACTCACTCTGTTGCCCAGGCTGGAGTGCAGTGACACAATCCCAGCTCACTGCAGCCTTGACCTCCCAAGCTCAAGCAATCCTCCTACCATAGCCTCCCAAGTAACTGGGACTACAGGCCCAGCTGATTTTGTACTTTTTTGTAGAGATGGGGGTCTCACTTTTTTTGCAAGGGGTCTCAAACTCCTGGCCTCAAGCGAGCCTCCCGCCTTGGCCTCCCAAAGTGCTGGCATTACAGGTATGAACCACCGTGGCTAGCCTACCTTCATATACTTTGTTGGACAAAACTTCAAAGATCTTCCCCAGTTCTGGAAATCAGCATATTTACTCCTTAGGATAATATTCTCATTCATCGCCATTTTCCATCATTTAATACTTTTCTTATTCCAGAATGGATACTGATATAGGATGACTCATAATCAAAAAGATGTCACCCAAGTTCAGCAGCACACGTTCAACCACAAAATAAAAACTTGTCTCTCAGTAATTCCTTGGCAAGATCCATGGTATATCTCCAACAATTCTAAAATTCTCAAAGAATATGAGCTCTCATGGCATACTAAGACAGACCAATTGATAACCAAACCCCATCTTATCTGCCTAGAAAACTCAGGTCTGTGGAGAATGTCAAAGCCTACCTATGGTACCCAAATAGGATCAACATCTCTAATTCACCAAACCAAGGACCTATAAAGGAAGCTCAAATAGTTCCCCGTTGAGACTTCACTCCTTTACCGCTCTATCATAGACTTTGGTTGAAGAATAAGCACATGAGTATTAAATACATTTGACAATAAATAGAAAAGTGGACAGAAAATACTCATAGGGAGAAAATTGAGTTATTTGCTATCACTATTCACTGTATTAGAAGAAAGTGGGGACAGATAACTGAAGGGGGCCTTCTTAAATAGGAAGCCTTAGGTTAATGAAAAAATCCACATAACCTATGATCATGATATTGCAAGGAAACAGAATTAATCAACTTACACAGGTCATGGTTTTAGAACTGTAAGACCTGATCAGTCCTACTCGGTGGGGTTCCAATACCGGAAACATTCAAACTCCAGAGAATCCAGAGCTGAGAGAAGAAAAGAGATGTTAGTGTTCCCAATATGACTTAATTTAATAAAATCTTTCTCCTCCTCTATTTCTCCTTCCAAATTAATCCCTCATAACTGAACACATAACTTAAGGAAAAACAGACAATGAATCTAAGCACTCCTTCACACCCCAGGAAACCTAGCTACACAAAGGTAGTTTTAGAGTAAGTCACTGGCTCATTAAAGCCAGATCCAGACAAGATAACAAGATGTTTTCTGGACAAGCCTCCAATTTGGGAAGGCTGATCTAGACTTGAGATTTGGCTGCTCAGTTTCTCCATGAGAAGATTCACTTGCCTTCATTTCCACCTTCCAAGGCTGAGAGAGGGCTCACCGTTCAAACTAGAAGCTTTTTTTTTTTCTGAGATGGAGGCTCGCTCTGTTGCCCAGGCTGGAGTGCAGTGGTGAGATCTCAGCTCACTGCAACCTCTGCCTCCCAGGTTCAAGCGATTCTCCTGCCTCAGCCACCCAAGTAGCTGGGACTACAGGTGCGCACCACCACACCTAGCTAATTTTTTTTGTATTTTTAGTAGAGGCAGGGTTTCACTATGTTGGTGGGGCTGGTCTTGGTGATTCACCCGCCTCGGCCTCCCAAAGTATTCAGATTACAGGCATGTGCCATCGTGCCTGGCCTCAAACTAGAACCTCCTCTAGGGCATCAGAATCAGTTGAAATTGGTCAAAATATGAGAGAGAACACAGCACAGAAGGAAATGCTTAGGCCTGGTTCTGTGTTGAGTACAAACTGCCTTGCTAAATACAAAATATACATGTAATAGAATACCAAGAAGCTATCAGATGCTAAGTAGAGAAATGTATTTAATAAAATAAAAAAATTTCAGATATAGTGTCAAAAGAAAATTAAGATGGAAAAACAGAATGTACAATATCACTGAATCATTAAAAAGACAGACAAGCATTGAGACACAGGCTATAGGACATCAATACATTGAGAAATCTGGTAATTTATTTATTCTGTTACATTACAACATGATCGTATGTTACCATTACTTTTCTTTTAGTTGCTATCTTGATTTTCTTTTTTGAATATATTTCATAATCATTTTAACATTGTTCATGCATTAACTTAAAAAATACATGTGTACACACACACACACACAAATGTGTGTGATAAAAGTTGGGTTTGTTTTGTTACTTAGCCACAATGTCATCCAGACTAATGCTAAACTCTCTCTCTCTCTCTTTTTTTTTTTTTAAAGGGGCAAGGCGTCTTGCTCTGTCATCCAGGCTAGAGTACAGTGGTGTGATCATAGCTCACTGAAAACTCAAGCTTCTGGGTTCAAGTAATCCTATTGCCTCAGTCTCTTGACTGGTTGGGACTAAAGGTGTGTACCACCATGCCTAGTTAATTAAAAACATTTTTTTTAGAGACAGGGTCTTACTATGTTACCTAGGCTGGTCTCAAACTCCTGGGCTCAAGAGATCCTCACTCCTAGGCCTCCCAAACTGTTGGGATTACAGGCATGAGCTACCACGCCTGGCCTACTTTCACTTTTTATCTAACATCACTTGAAGAAAAAATTAGACAGTAAAAGCTTACAGAATACATTCACTAACTTCCATATATATTCCATGGACTTAGTTACAATGATGACCAGAATCTAATCAATGCCACCTCCACATGAATTCCCAAGGCACATCACCTGAATCTCTCTAGTGGTCTTCACTATACACTGATTTACCCGTTCCTATTTACAACTTATGGTCCTTGCTGAATTACTGGCATTTTAAAGTAGTGACTAGTCCTAGCCACAGCAATCAGACAAGAGAAAGAAATAAAGGGCATCCAAACTGGTAAACAGGAAGTCAAACCTGCTGTTTGCTGATGATATAATCATATACCTAGAAAACCCTAAAGACTCATCCAAAAAGTCCCTAGATGTGATAAATAAATTCCATAAAGTTTCAACATACAAAATTAATGTACACAAATCAGTAGCATTGCTATATACCAACATCGACTAAGCTGAGAATCAAATCAAGAACTCAACCTCTTTTACAACAGCTGCAAAAACAAAACAAAAGCAAAAACAAAAATCCAGAAAACAAAAAACTTAGGAATATACCTAATCAAGGAGGTGAAAGATCTCTACAAGGAAAACTACAAAACACTGCTAAAAGAAATCATAGATGACACAAACAGATGGAAGCACATCCCACACTCATGGATGGGTAGAATCAGTATTGTGAAAATGACCATACTGTCAAAAGCAATCCATAAATTCAATGCAATTCTCATCAAAATACCATCATCATTCTTCACAGAACTAGAAAAAACAATCCTAAAATGCATATGGAACAAAAAAAAGAGCCTGCATAGTCAAAGCAAGACTAAGCAAAAAGAACAAATCTGGAGACTTAACAGTCCCTGACTTCAAACTATACGACAAGGCAATCATTACCAAAACAGCATGGCAGCGGTATAAAAACAGGCATGTAGACCAATGGAACAGAATAGAGAACCCAGAAAGAAAGCCAAATACTTACAGCCAACTGATCTTTGACAAAGTAAACAAAAACATAAAGTGGGGAAAGGACACACTATTCAACAAATGGTGCTGCGATAATTGGCAAGCCACATATAGAAGAATGAAACTGGAGCTTCATCTCTCACCTTAGACAAAAATCAACTCAAGATGGATCAAAGACTTAAATCTAAGACCTGAAACCATAAAAATTCTAGAAGATAACATTGGAAAAACTCTTCTAGACATTGGCTTAGGCAAAGAGTTCATGACCAAGAACCCAAAACCAAATGCAACACAAGCAAAGATAAATAGATGGGACTTAATTAAACTAAAAAGCTTCTGCACAGCAAAAGAAATAATCAGCAGAGTAAACAGACAACTCACAGAGTAGGAAAAAGTATTCACAAACTATACCTCTGACAGAGGACTAACATCCAGAATCTACAAGGAACTCAAACAAATCAGCAAGAAAAAAACAAATAATCCCATCAAAAAGTAGGCTAAGGACATGAATAGGCAATTCTCAAAAGAAGATATACAAATGGCCAACAAACATATGAAAAAACGCTCAACATTATCAGTGATCAGGAAAATGCCAATAAAAATCACAATGTGATACCACCTTACTCCTCTAAGAATGACCATAATTTAAAAAAATCAAAAGATAATGGACATTGCCATGTTTGTGGTGAAGACAGAACACTTCTACACCACTGGTGGGAACAAAAACTAGTACAACCACTATGAAAAACAGTATGAAGATTCCTTAAGGAACTAAAAGTAGAACTACCATTTGATCCAGCAATTCCACTAATGGGTATCTATCCAGAGGAAAAGAACACATTACATAAAATTCTTTTATTACTATTTTTTGAATGATAGAGATAGGGGTCTCACCATGTTGGCCAGGCTGGTCTCAAACTCCTGGCCTTAAGTGATCTGCCGGCCTCAGCCTCCCAAAATGCTGGGATTACAGGTGTGAGCCACTGTACCCAGCCAGAAGTAATTATATGAAAAAGACATTTGCACACATGTTTACAGCAGCACAATTCACAATTGCAAAAATATGGAACCAGCCTAAATGTCTATCAACAAGTGGATAAAGAAAATGTGGTGTGTGTACACATATATATACACTATGGAATACTACTTGGCCATAAAAAGGAATGAAATAATGGCATTGGATATAATCTGAATGGAGTTGAGACCATTATTCTAAGTGAAGTAACTCAGGAATGGAAAACCAAACATTACATGTTCTCATTTATGAGTGGGAGCTAAGCTATGAGGATGCAAAGACATAAGAATGATATAATGGACCTCAGGAGGCTGAGGGAGGAGAATCGCTTGAACTCAGGAGGCAGAGGTTGCAGTGAGCCAGACTGTGCCACTGCACTCCAGTCTGACGATAGAGCAAGCTTCTGTCTCAAAAAATAAATAAATAAGTAAATAAATAATATTTAAGAGATGGTCTCTTGAAGTAACTAATACAAACTTCAAGTCTTTTTGTTAGTCTTTTGGGATATGATTTTCAGATTTAAGCTCTGATACTTAATAAAATGTTTCTTAAAGTCTCATTGGTTAATTGGGAGAGAATGTCATTTAGCATATAAAATAGTCTGAAGATGAAGTAGAATAATCCACATAAAATATTTAATAAAACAATTGCTTAATGTAAGTTGGCTTTTATTATCAGAGATGAAGAACTTTACAAATTTCCTAAATGTACTGCTTTCAAAGAAACATAATTCTACTAATTCCATTTTTTTTTTTTTTTT